GGGGGAGGCTCTGCCCCAGCGCCCGGCCCGGACCCGCCACCCGCAGCTGCACCTCCCGACCCGCACGGCTGTATGACTACACACCTGTCCTGCTGTCGACCCGTCTCTACACCTACACCTCTGTCCACCTATCTCTGCATCCGTGTGTCTGTCCAACTATGTATTTATCTGTCCATCTGTACACCTATCTAAGTATGCCTCTGTGTGTCTGTACATCCATTGGACTGTCCAACTATACATCCATCTCTCTCTCCATCTGTCTAACTATACATGTATTTATCTGTCTGTCTAACGGTATGCTTATCTGTACACTTATACATCTGTTGATCTATTTACTTATGCCGTCTATCAATAGGCAGGCAGATAATTACATAATTATGGCGATCAATTATGGCATAGCAGGGTGGTTGGGTTTTCTTTCCGCTTATTTTCTTGATGTTTCCTTACACCCCTGTACTTGTCCAATCACGCTGTATAGGAGACTCGGGGACGAGAGTGGCAGAAGTTTGACCTTTTCTTCTTAGTTGACAAAAAGGCATTTTTTAATCTTATTTATTTATTTTTGGCTGGTGGTGTTTTTTGTTTTGTGCCATCATAAAAATTCTGCTCAGATCTGCCAGGCAGGCTCATGGCTCCATGAGGGAAGTTTTTTTTAGGGTTGAAGTGGACTAGATGCAACTTAATCCTGCAGCAACGACTTGTTTCTGAAGGGTGACCCGGTAGAATTAGTGAAAGCTCCTGTTTTGCTCACTTCAGAACTGGCTCCTGTCACAGTTGGCGCACGGGTCTGACAAGTGCTGATGTGTACCAGGTAGCGACAGATTTGTTGAAAGTTTGCTGGGAATAATTTTTAGCAAACCCAGGGTCTCTAGTTGTTTCTGTTGTCTTCTGCTCTCAGACCAGTAGGATGGGAAGACACTGGGGACCTTCCGGTATTTTGCGAGTTAAACGCTTTTGGTGCTTTATACCCCGAAGCAAGCGCAGTTTGTGAGGAGGTGTATATGCAGTGTGCCATGCGCATGAGGGCCAAACCCACTTTTGGAGAACAGGGAACAGTTTGTCCCCACAGCCTTACTGTGGGAATACAACCACCACAGGCTGCAATCCCAGCGTGCAGCGATCCCAGTTTGGATCAAGATGGGAGTGTTGCATAGTGGATCCCATCGTCTTTGAGTGCTGAACTTCGGTATTAAACCTGACTGCAGGGGCAGGCCACTTGGCACAGCACTCTCCAGAAGTGACGGGGGCTCCGGTGTATGTTCCTCTTGCTGGCGAAGGAGGATGTGCTGTAGCCTTCCGCATGAATGCAGGTGCACGCAGATGCTGCTGCGTACCTTTTGGGGCTCGCTTGTCTCAGTGCAGGATTTGTCCCTTTGACAAGAGTACATTTAAGTAGTCAACTTGCTGGCAGAGGGACATATCTTCAGATGTGTTTGCAAAGTGCCTAGCACGGAGAGGCCTTGATCTGATTGGAGCTTCTGGGCATTATTGAAACACTATGAGCAGGAATAAAGACTAGGGGTGCACCAATAACTATTTTTAACTAACCCAAAAGCTGACGATTAACCATACTGGCTGATGCCGATCCAATAACCAATATTTAGTAATAGTGCAAGGCATTTTAACCTACTGACATAAAACTTGTTTGTTTTGCATTTCTAGCATGTGCACACACGTGCCTCCTGCCTGCTCCAGGCCTTGGTGAGGAAGGCGATTACCACCTTATTCCCATACGTGTTGCCCCCTTGCCCACGGCTCCAACCCACTCCCCGCGCAGCCCGTGACGCCATCCTGGGAGTTTAGGGCGGGCCCTTGTGCAGACAGCGGTGCCGGCCGTGTTTGGAGCCCCAGATCATGCTGCTGTGTCACAGCTGGTGGGCCCCGCACAGCTGAGCCCCCCTGGCCGTGGGGTGAAGCCTGTTTTGCAAGTGCACCCCGTGCCTTACACCCCCTGCGCGTAGTCCATCTCCGCAGCAGCCCCAACTCAGGCCCCTGCTGCGTGTGTCGCATTGCAATGGCGGCAGCAGCAGGACCTGGTAACAGTCCCTTTGTTGCTGAGCGTGGCACCGCTGCTCACGGGGACCTGTAGTCTGCTGTAGGCTGGGGCTGGCGATGGAGCTCACCAGGATGCTCTGAGCGCACAGCCTTAATTATCAGCTACAAGAAGCTAAAAAAGCCAGTAACTAAGAACCTCATTTCTCTTTTTATTGGTGCCGATCCAATAGCCAACTGGTATATCGGTGCACCCCTAATAAAGGCATTGACTAAATAGTTTTGATCTTTGCAGGTAGTGCCGCCAAGTGTTACTTGACCAGGTTGCTTTAAACTACTCTATCAAGGGTACTCTGTTGTAGAAGAACCTCAGGTGTGCATCGGACTAGGTATTTGTGCTTAAAATCTGTTCCGTTTGAGTATGCGGTGGAAGTGCTGGCCATCTATAGCTAAAAGGGATAAACCGTTTTTTTTGGATAAAAATATTTATCATTTTCTACTAAGCCTACCCAAAGAATGATCCCAGGTCAGTGCATCTCAGTGGGTTTGCGTGTTGTGTGTCTGTTTCTTACCCCCACCCCCCAAAATGCATCACTTGTTGCTTTCAAAAAGTTGACAGAAATACATAGATTTTGAGATGGAATCAGTCGTTTTTAGTGGCACTGAGGTGATGTTGAGAGGCCTGAAGAAGGTACCATGATACCCGAAAGCTTGCCAGTTATCGGACCAACTGCATAGTTGGGATAGACAAAGATACCACCCACAAGAATTCTTTCTTCTCTTTAATAATGTTTATACCTTTTTATTGAAGAAGGGCTAAACATCGGACAGTTTGTGATACCAGGAAGAGAATGAAAAATCTCTTCCTTGATGAAAACCAGGTGTCCTTATTAAAAAACTTAAATATTTATTTATTAAAGGCATTTGTAAAATGTCCTTAACGAGACTATGGTGCATCATATGTGTCTCAGACTAAGCTCAGAAACCCCCCAAATGTAGGGTTGAGCACTTCTTAACTCCCACAGAGCAAGTAAGGGTGGAGGCAAGCAGAGATGGAGCTAGCACTTGGACAGGAAGCATGACCCAAACAACGGGGCACTAGACCAAGACTGAGGAAACCCGTTTGGCTCTGGCTGCTCTTGACTTGCTTGGTGGCTGTGGGTATGTCATTGACCACTTTGGCTCATTTTTCCCAAGCAGTAATTTAAGGACAATGCTAGTTTTCCTGCTTTAATAAAATAGATTTGGAAATCTGTTGGTAAAAATCATGAGAAACATGTTCAGGATTTATTGTGGCAAAGAATCATCTGTGGGGTCCAACTTAAAGAGGGTTAGAAGTAGTGATTGTGTGAGTGAAGGGGCAAAGCGGCGCGTTCGTTAGATCCCAGTACCTCCCCACTGGAGGATCCTTGTAGGCTCTAGGGATAGCTCTTCTGAGCGGTGCAGCTGGAGCATCTCTGCTGACTGTCTCACTTGGCCTGTATAAATTGTGCGGTTTAACCACTGGAGGTTGAAGAGATCATCTTCAGGTCTTGCAGCAGGGCCTTCTCCCTTGAAACAATTTCCATTTGTAAGAACTTAAAAACTTTCCTTTCCTCTTTTCTTTTTCTCCTTCAAATGTATTTGAAACATTGGATTTTTTGTTGGCACCCTGAAGAAAGCTTTTGCTGACTACCTTTTTTGGTGGGTAATTGTAGTGTAGCCACGTTGTTGCCTGCCACCAGTATTTTAGACCTCTCTTCTAATCCTGTACACAGCAGGATATATGAAAACAGACTGCAGTTGGGTCTGTCCAGCCCTGTTGCTCTCAAAATTGTTAGCACTGGTAAAGCTGAAATGGGGTTGGTCTAATAAAAGATATCAGATTTACCCAAAGAACATTGTCTGCTGAAATGGGGTAGCACTTCTAATACCGTCGGGACATCTATTTGAGATGTAATGGTCTACAGTGCAGCCTTCATGTGCTTGGCTTGTACTTTTTGATGTATCACATTACACCCGAACGGACTGGTGGGAGTTATTGGGCATTTATTTCCAGGGAAAAATTTGGCCTTTCATAAATGTATCCTTTTGATTACTGTAGGCAACAGGCGCCATCCCTGCGTTTTGGAGGTCAATAGAACTTGCATAAAAATACATTCTTACATATATAAGTGAAATGGTGGTTTTACCACTGGAACACGTTTCAGGGAAGAAAACTTCAAAACGGAGGAGAGGTCCTTGGCCAGCGCTTTTGTCTGTTCTTTCTGAGGCTGTCACAGGTGTTACTTGAGCATGTTGCAGTAGGGCCTGGGGGCCCTTCTTGCTCCGCACAGACACACCTACAGGCAGAGCCACACCTCTAAAGGGTGAACTCAGAATCCGTTTTCAGTGTTACTTTGTGCATTTGGCAGCAGCGTGCGTGTGTGGTCGTAATTCTGATTTTCACCAAACTGTTGCAATGCAAGCGAGTGTGATGTGATAAATTCAGCATTATGGCGTCACTTTGTGATCATCAGGACAAGATGGGGTATGCAGAAGCAAGTGGTGGTCTATACTGCTATGGGGACTATCATAAGAAGCAATTTGTGTTTAAACAGCAGACATGGGAAGAAACTAGCAAGCTGACTGATCATTTTGAAAGCCCCTTTTTAAGTGATGCAGCTATATTGGCAGCAAAGGCTTTCAGTTCTTGTTTCCTCAGACATTTTGGTTTTTACATATGGCACTCATGCAAAAGCCCCCTTGATATTTCACGTGTAAATGTAACACAAGCTATTCTGTTTTACCCTGTAATTTCTTCCATTGATATGTGGAATTTGATGCTAATTTAACTTTGGGGGCTCTGAGCCTTTTTAATTTTCTTCTTTATTTCCAGAAAGTGTTGTCTGTTTAAAATTAGACCTTGAGTAATGTGATTACATAACTTGGGAGACACACTGGTATCCTGGAACCTTAAAATGAAAAAAATACTAATATTTAATCATGCTTAGTGCTTATGTAGCTTTGTCTGCCTTTAAAATACTGTATAAATAAAGCAACACTGTCAGCCTTTAAAATGTTTCAGCCTAAAGTGTGATTTCCCACCCCCCCAGTATTGTATCAACCAGCTTATAAATTTGCTTTTCCTCCTGTGATCTATAACTTATAATCATCTCTTTTTTTTCAGTTTTTACTTTTCACCTGGAGGTAGGACTTGATATATCACTAGTTTCACTGTTTCCCATAACTGTGACAACAAGGAGGATTTAAAAATAGAAAAATGACTTATGAAGTCAGAATATTGACAGACAGACCTGGGCAATAGGAGTTGGAAATTACAGTGCTTTAGATGAATAACTCTCAGCTCGGTGGTCCCTTTAACAAATATACCTAATGGGGTAGGTTAGCAGAGAGACCAGTTTTCTTTGTGACTGTGTAAAAATGATAAAAAATAAATTGCCAATCAAAGGTGGCTATGTTCAAATGGAGTAGAACTGTCATCCAGGGAAATTTTGGATTAGCCTCTTAAAATAAGAGGCTTAAGTGTGTCCCACAGACATCAGTGTACTGTCACGTCCATTTTACAGATGGACAAACTGGGACAGAGAGGTAGATTATCTGGGGTCACACGCACAGGGACAAAGACTTATTCCTCACTCTTGCTCTTGTGCTCAGTCAGTCAGAACATTCTGCCATTCAGGCAGCGCCCCGCTCATTTTGGGTGTTACTGGCCAAATAAATGTGTATGTTATGTTGATTCAATTTAATGTGAAAAGGGATGTTTCTCAGTTGCAGTTTAGGGGGGATTTTTTTTGCACAATAAATACAAGGGAGAACATTAGAACAGATGATAGGGTTTGTGCTAACATGTCAGATGAAAACATTCTGGGAAGGTTTTTTTAGGGTAAGCATTCATCTTTACCTGCGTATGAAGCTGAGATCCCTGGCTTGTTCTTTAGATCTTAAAAGGTGTTTAGTGTTTGAAACCCGTTAAGTTTCTTCACCCTTTTCTAAGTTCGTTGCTTACATTGGCAGCTGTTTCACTCGGAGGCTGTTAAAGAAGCTTGTCTTCTCTGCTCATATTAACACTTATATGTTCTATAAAGCTGCAATATTGCAAGCACTTACACATGTAAAAGAAAGTATATGTGAGTAGTCCCAGTCAGTTCAGTGTTACTGCTCTTTATGTACATGTGCCTGCAAAACTGGGGCATTGGCATATTTCCATTTAAAATTATTTTTATCCCCCTTCTGTTGTTTGGATGACTGTTTTTTTGGGGGTTTTTTTTTAATTCTGTTAGTTGGGAGGTTGTTAAAGGCTAAGAGATTGCTTGGCAGTTTTAAAATAATTGAAATGTCAGGGCTAATTTTAATACGAGAAGGAAAAAGTTACTAATATAGGTTTCCTCCTGTGTTCTACAGTCTGTCCAGTGAAGATGCTGTGTGAGGCTGCTTTGAGATGCTAACAGGTATCTTGAACTTTTGGTTTTCCAGTGCAGCATCTCTGAGTAATATTTTGATGTAGGAGAAGACCGAAATATCGGGTGCTATTTATTCACCAAGGAAAAAACTTTCAGTTAGTTATTCCTGTATCACTTTTCAGAAGTTTTCTTAACTAGAAATACATTTAGGTTTTTCTATATCCTTAAAAAAATCTACATCATCATGATGTCTTCACAGTTGAGTCTATTTTTCTCATCATTTACATGCTCTCATCTCCACACCCATTTTTACCGTGGCTAGGAACAGAGTTCAAACCAAGTTCCAGTTAACTTCTGCCATGCTTTGGTTGTCTGCTGTAGATGAATTAATGGAGCTAAGCCACGTATGCAAAACTGGAAATCAGTTCATCTGAATTGAAGCTTAAACAGTGTTTTAAAAAAAAGTCAGAGTAGGGAAAGCCCAAACTTGTTACCAGAGTGTCATGGCTAGTTCCTTTTCTAAGCACAGAAGAGTATCCCTTAAAGGAAGACAGAGATCAAAGTTGACATTGTTAGTGGCCAAAATGCAGGCAATCAGGAGGGTGTCAGTGGCATGTGATCACAAGCCTCTCCGAATAGATCACAAATGCACTGGACAAGGATCATCCAACCTCTTCCTTCCTGCAGTGAACAGTTTTAAAATATACTTAAATGATAGGTTTGGCATGCAGCTGTTGTGTATCTTTGTTTAAAAAAAAAAAGACAAAACATAACTCAAAGCAGCATATGTTTTGGAATCTTAAATTAATGCCAATTGTTCCTGTATAAGTAGTCAGTAGTGTTTCTATTGGTTTGTAATGGATCTGTTTGCAGAAATGTATTTTGAATCTACAAACCAATAGTGATCCACTGTGCCTTGAGAAACCTGATCGCCAGCGACTAGGTGAAGTTTCTCTGGTGGTATGGACCTTCCTTTAGCGTTCTGCTTCTCCAGGAGTTTGGTTCCTGAACTCCCAGTTCTTGGCATCCTCCCCGTTTTGTATCTGCCTGGCCTCCCACAGCAGTGGTGCCCTCTGGCCAGATTTTCTTCACAGGTCGCCAGTCTCGCTGTGACTGGGTGGCAGGGTCTGCTCGGGTCCCGCAGGGTGTGCTGTCCGCTCTTCCAGAGTGTGCTCAGGCCCTGCTGGTCCAGGGAGCCAGGACCTGATGAATCCGTTTCTAGCCTTCTGCATGGCAGTGCGTAGTGCTTCTTAGTAGTCCTTCATTTAAAAAATATTTGCTGTTGGTATTGAGTGAACACCAAAATCGTTACAAGGTTCTCTCCAAAAAAAAGTCATCTGGTCACAGTGCATGAAGATTTCCAGTATCAATAAGCATAGCTCTTGAGAGTAGCCCAGGTCTGAAAACCTCTGCTGCTGCATGCAACGTTAAATGACAGCTGTAACTGTTGTAACTTCGGTAGAAGTCTGCATAACCATATCTCTTGCCCAGGCCTCGTTACTGCTACTGCAGTCCCTCAGCCAGACAAGTAAGAGCCCTCAGAATTGTGAAGGAGTTTATTTGCAGGTTTCAATCTTTTGCTTTTGTTTTTTTTAAATGTGAATAATTGTATATATGTGTTTAAGGTGGTGTAATAGTATCTTACTGGAGTGATAGCCTATTTATATCCTTGAGAGCATACAGTGGTAGGTCTTTTTATTCTGAATGTAAAGATTTTGATTTTAACTTCTCCTGCATTGTAATTTTGTAGGGAGAAGAAGTGGGTGACAGTTGGTGACACATCCCTCAGGATTTACAAATGGGTACCAGTAACAGAGCCCAAAGTTGATGATGTAAGTATCGCTGCACATCCTACAGGTATCTTGTGTTTAGTTGGGGTTTTCAGGAAATACCCTAGCCCTCCCCAGATCTTGCAAGCTACGGCTGGGTTGGCCAGGTTGGTAGCACTTGAATGGAAGATCTTGAGAAACCCAGGCTGCTGCAGAAAGTGCTGTTGGTGATTCAGTAGGTGGCTCTCTTCTCCCTGGATCAGCATACAAGCTGTGCTCTTTACCGTGTAATTCCTGGGGACACTGTGCATGCGGAGGTCCTTTGATGGATCTATCAGAAAAAGTCTCGGGCCTGGATCCATGTTATTCAAAGTCCAGCTTCCAGGCCCAGCTCTGTCCTTTATTTAGGATGTGTTATAAAGCAAGCCTTTTTTTTTTCCATGGCTTCATCTGACTGAAGACTTCACTGGCTGAAGATAAGCATTTCTATGGTGTCTCTTATATTTAAAAATGCCTTAAAACTGAACTAGATATGTGAGAAATAACCTCTCATGAATTTTTGTGGAAAAAATACAACCAGTATATGAACACAGTCATTTTTAACACCTTAATCAGTGTTTGTGCTAATTGGACTATTTGTGACACGGAGACAGTGATCGTTGTGCTGCAGTTAGGTGGGGTTTGTTAAATATATTTCAGACCCGAGTGTTGCAATTGCTGGGGCGTTCCGGGTCCATTTTCTTACATCTAAGTTTGCAACCAAGAGGACGCTAGCGGTGTGTTTTCCCAAATGTCCTGCATAGAATGCTTCTGTAATGGAAACCTGGAATGGAGTTTGATGTGGCTCCAGGGTGCCTAAGGCCCCAGTTCTGCAGTTCGTTCTGCATAAATAGCTGCTAAGTCGGTGAGGTTCTGTGATTGTACAGAGTCCTTCTACATAGAACCAGTTCCAATATTTGGATGGTAGTTTGGACATATTGGGCAAATATCCCTAGATTTTGGGCCTACACTTAATTGTCAGCATCTCCTTGAAACTAGGTCATTCTAACATCTACGTCAAATGCTACTTATCCCCAGTAGGCACAGTCATGCTGCTGCAGCAAATTGCAGTCTAGTTTAAGGTTAAAGGGGGTCTGCGTTGTTTCTTTGGTTAAGGGGAGGTCTTTTTGAACAAAAGAAAAATCTGTACGTGACAGTAAAGTGAAAGGGAGAGGGTGCAAAATCTTTGCATGTTCTACTTGGTCTCAAGGATCTTTTTTGCACCAGCCCTTGGCCCACTATATAGGAGCAGGCCAGGGTCCTCTTCCAGTGATCATTTGAATATGACATGGGGGCTTCTTAATGTGCTGCAGTGTTTCATGGACCCAAGGGAATATTGCCTGATATTTTAGGGATCGTGATAGACTCCTCTTCCCCTTGCGCGTGCAGAAGAGATGATTCAGGAGCTCCTCACTCAAGTGTTACCACTTTGATCCTTCCAAAAAGAAAACCCAAGTATTTGGGAATGTGGCGTCCTTGATTCAGAGCAGCCAGTTCTGTACCTAACTTTCTGAAATGCATGCACGTGAGTGTGCATGTTTAAAGTGTTCTGCCCCACTGCTCCTACTGGAAAGCCATTCCAGAACCTCGCAGCCCTGATGGTTAGAGGCCACCTTACAATCACCAGCCTAAACTTGTTCACGGTGAGTTTTTTGTGTGTTCTTGTGCCAAAATTATTAAGTTAAATAGTTTTTCCTCTCCTTGAAGTTTATCCCCTTGATGTAGTTATAGGAAAGTCCTAGCTCCTTCAGCCTTTTTGTTCGGCTAAATAAGCTGAGTTCATGCAAAGGTTTACCTTTTCTCTATGTGTAACTTTTCCACCTATTCTGTTACAAGTTAAAAGAAGGAAAAGACCCATATTTGTCTTGTTGAATCCTTCAGGTTTTATTGAGTGCCATCTTATTTGTGTCTCTTTGGAAGATGCTGCCTAACCCTAATGGGCTGCTGGTTTAGCTTTTCCTACATTAGAAGCTGGCTTTTCATTCTCACAGCAAGCATTGGTTCTCCACAAGCAGTGTAGCTGGTACTTTCTCTTTGGGGATTAATTACATCATGTTTTAATTGGAAATGTTTCATCCCTTTCCAGCCCCAGATTTTTCCCTGCTTTGGATGCATACTACCATCTTTCCCTTTTGTATTAATGCTTGCAGCTCCTTCTGTTACTGTAGTGTAATGTGCTGTATGTTCATGCAGGGCAGTCTTGCTGCTGTGAGGTGGTTCTTTCTCACATGCTGGCTGATCTTTCCTACTCTATTATTAATGCAGAACCTACATTAGATGTGGAGTAGGAGGAAGTCTCCACAGCCTGGGTCAGCAAGAGGGAGGCAAAGGGCCATTGTTTCATAGAAGGAATTCTGAATTACCTTTGTATGCACATTCAAGAATTGATGCAAAGATTAAGATGCTCCTTCCACAGGGACAGGTGGGAGCCCCGCCTGGGGGAAGCTCTGTCACCTCATGATATGGCTTTCCAAGATCAGAGCGGATGCTGAGGTAGGGCAGAGAGTTGATTTACCCATGAGCAAGGCTGCAGAGTCAGAAATTAAGTAGAGACCTTCTGATTCTTAGCACCTATCTATTCTGATCAATGCCATTGCCTCCCTGTCTGTCTTGTGGGGAAATCTTGACTTTGTCTTCCTTTTTCCAGTTAATGTTTTAGCTGTTGGAAGAGGGAGGGAAAAGCAATAAAAACACTAATGCCCCCAAAGGCCACCATAATGGGTGCATAATTAATCAAAATATGCACCTATTGCAGTACGTTGCTGAATTAGATGTCTTCTAACCATCAATAACAATATGCCATACTGGACAGCAGTCTTATTTCCCAAAGTCTGTCACCTTAGTGGTCCAGATGCATGGAAGAATTCCTCATGAGTAGACACCAGGTTGAGAACCACCTGGAGAGCTGTTTCTCTGACCTTGTAACAGCAGCATCATTGGTATTGGCAATTCTTGACTTGGGTTTATTTTCCGCTTGAAAGTTGTGAGTGTGAGACACAAGACTAAAATGCCAAGCTTGAAAGTCCTACACTAAATGTGAATTAATCTCATTTGTAACTCTAATCTTTAGCGGATGTCTTTGCTTTTTCAGAAAAATAAGAATAAGAAAAAAGGCAAAGATGAAAAATGTGGATCTGAAGTGACAACTCCAGAGAATAGTTCCTCTCCAGGGATGATGGACATGCATGGTGAGTAGGAGAGCATCAGACTCAGCTACCTCATGGTACTGTTGTGAAGGACCATTTTTGTATTGCTCATTGTAACTGTGGGCATGATTTGCTCAAGTGGTAATTCAGAATAGAAGTATACTGCCCCAAATCAATGCATTAGCATCAGCAATGTCAGATGCAGGGTCTAAAATAAGATGTCTTTGTCTGTTGTGTGTGGAGCCAAATTATACAATAAAAAGGGGAAGGGACAAAACACAAATTCAGTGTGTGGTAGTGCTACAGCACTAATTTTAAGTGCAAACATCCCTGGCTTTAGCAAAGGAAAATTAGTGATTTCTTCTGAGCATGTTTGGTAACTTAAACTAGCTCCATGTGCCTGCAAAGAGTGTCTGTCCTTAAAAAGTTCACAGCTAGTGGCTTAATGAAAGACCCCGTTCCACATTTCACACCTTAATAACTTGATCTTGGAGCCATTAGATGTAAATAACTTCAGACTGTAGTAACCCATGCAAGAGAGAAATGCATTTCTCTATCGCTATCTCTCTTCCCCACTTCCCTCTTGCCCCACCACCCCTCCCTCCCAGACTGAAAAGGGTGTTTTATAAGCTCAAAATTAACTGAAAGAATTCTGCCTGAAAAAACAACAGAAACTAAACATGCAAATTCACCTCCAAAATCAGTCATCTGTAAGGCATCAAAACATGATAGCAGAGGGCTGGAATGGAAGCTCGTTTATGGCCTTAATTGTGGTGGTCTATACTGCTGTGGGGACTTTTGTAAGATGCATGAGAGAAGTGCCATGATTCTTAACTTAGGATTTTAAGGCACTGAAGTATTCTGGATGGAAGATTATAGAAGTGCAAAAGACATGGCTGCAAGACTTTATGGTTGATTATCTTTAGTTTGATGTGTACAGTAGGTTATGTCAAACAAAGTTCCTAACTGAGCTGCGACGTGAACAGTGATAACACTGGGCAGTTTTTTTCCAGCATTTGAAATTTCAGCAACGTTTTAAGTTCCTAGGAATCTTTGTAAGTAAAATTCCTTGAAGGATGTGAGTTTCTTTACAGGATAATTTGTATTTTGACATGAGCGTATTGGCTTAATGTTATGAAAAAAGAGGAAGCTATGTTTTCAGATAGTCTACTTTCTCGTATCACTTATGTCATTTCTATGTGTTTTTAACTCCACTAGTTTAATGGAGTTGATTCCGATTCTCACTGGTGTGATGTGAATCAGGGCAAAAGTATTCATTCCCCATCCCAACAAAAAGAAAAAAAATTAGGCTCCTGAAATATCTGCCCCCTGGAAGACTTGCGTGATAAAATTAAATAACAGAAAAATGAAAATGTTTAATTTCCCACAAAGAAATGCAGGCAGTTTAACAAAAGCAACCTGCGTTGTCTACCATGCTGCAAGGTTTTTTTCTGTGTGTATGTTTTACCCTGGCTGGAAAAACTCACAGTTGAGCTGGACCAGAGGTGTGGCCATCTTTGGATGCAGAGCTCTTGCTTTAGCTATTTGCACTTCTGATATCTTCCTGTTGCATTACTGGTCTGTTTGGCTCGTAATATAGAGTTTTGGCTTCTGTTCAGAGGCATATACAGTAAAAAAAATGCAAGACTGTTGTCTGTTAGAACACTTCTAATTACTGTACCTGCCTTGGTCGCCATATCTGCAGAGATGTACACTAGAATTATGCTGCAGGGTGTATGGCAGAGACCATCAGCAGGGTACTGGGGTCTTAAGTGTAAAAAGTCCTACTTGATTATGTGCCTCAGTGAACATGGGCCCAGCCCAAAATTCCCTATAATGTCTTGCTAAGAGTCTCAGGTGTGCAAGGCATGTGGGATTAAGATCTATCTTGACTAGTTTTTCAGTAATGCCTGAAAAACTAAATGCAAGAAAAGCCAAAATGTCCTTTTGTATTCACTTTTCATCAAGGCAGAATTTTCTTCCAGATGACAATAGCAACCAGAGTTCAATAGCTGATGCTTCTCCAATAAAACAGGAGAACAGTAGTAACTCCAGTCCAGCACCAGAGCAGAACTCAGCAACACAAGCAGATGGCACTGAAGTAAAGTCTGATGAAATTCAGACAGATGCAAAGGAGCAGCCTGGTTCAGAAGGTAATAACATGCAGATACCTGTCTCTGTGCCTACGGCTTTTCCAGTTCCAATCACCAGTTTAAGTGATTATTTCAGTTCAAAATTTTTCATAAGAAAGACACTTAAAGGAAGTGGAATAGACTGACTGGCATGTCACATGAAACACAACTGTCTTTCTCCAGCACCAACAAAACAATAAATACGTTGTGAGAAGTCAGCCATGATGAGTTGCAGCAGTCCGCCTGGGATTAGCAGTTTAACTTATCCATAAACATTTCCAGTTGGCTTGCGTTTTTTAAACTCCATTTCATTAACATTGCATGAATTGGAGCACAGTCCTTCGCATGGATTTTGCTTTCATACATGAAGTCTCACTGAAATAATTAGCAATTTTGTGTGCTGTTGGTCCTCTGAAAGGCAACAGGAATTTTGTCACTGACCTTAGGGGTGGCTGGACCAGACCTAAATCCTGCCTGCAGGTAGATGTCGTGTGCCCTGAGGATCCAAAATAGAGGGAGGAATATTTCTGAAAGATGGGACAAAGCCTCATTTCAGAAATGAATTTGTATTTTATTTTCACGTTGATTTAGAATGACTTAAAAAAGCTTAAAGGTGACTTCCAAATAAAAACATTGGACCTGTTCTTTTTTTGCTGCCTTATGATGCATAGAAAGGTCTGAATATCTTTTTTAACTTCTTTCCTATTTGTTTTTAAACATTGGGAATTCAGGTCCTGTCTGTGGTCACAGTGTTGCTTGGGACTCCCCCTGGCGGGTGATCCAAGTAACTATGCTGCTCCCCAAGCCGCTGGCAAAAAGAGTTCCTTAGCTCAGTGGCAGAAGCTGTTCTTGTGGTGCTGGAGCTAATGAATTTGATCCCCAGTGATGACTCGTGTCATTGGGTATGTGATTACCAGTGATTATGCTTGGATGAAACTTCTGTCTGTGTTTAGTGTTGGAATGTGAAATGGTTTAGAAGTTCTTATTTCAAGTTGATTTCACTTCTTAAACAAGTCTACTCTTGCAGATACTTCTGACGAGCAGAATTCACAGTCTTCAATGGATAATTCCATGAATAGTTCAGAGAAAGCAGACATTCAAACCTCTGGAGAAAATGATATAACATCAGAGGCATCTAAAAATTCTCAGGTAATTGTATTTAAGTACAAAGGAATGTTAGAATTTTTTTCTTCCAAATTCAGTCAACCTTTTTGTAAACATGAGGAATCAAAGGAAAACGGTCAGGAAAGGAGCTGTGCGTTTACCTTCATTTCCTTCACTGTGTTCCTAATAACACATGTAGGCCAGGGGTGTCCAAGATACACTCTGGGGGCTGGATCTTGCCAATAGCTGTCATCCAGCCTGCGGGGCTCCTACATGGGCCTGGAATTTGAAGGTGAGACCTGCTGCTGAAATCTGGGATGAGGAGCCCGTTTGGGGATGTCCAGCAAGGGGGCAAAGGCAGCTGTGTTAACCCCTGTGGTTTCCTGATGCTGTCCACCCTGCTTCTTCAGGTGGGTTTGGATCTGGCCTACAAAGAGCCGTGTAGTCTGGATCCGATGTTGGGCGGGGGCAGTTCCTTGTTTAGTGAAATGCTAAAATCTAAATCAAGATTTTTACTGTTGTACATTTTGGGCCTAACCTATTGAATCGTGTCTCTTTAAGGATGCTTTGGACACATTTATGTCCATTATAAAGCAGAACACTGAGTGCGTCTGGAAAGGTGCAGTGTTAAGAAACTCAAAGGGCCAAATGTGGCTTGAAGCATGTATATGTACATTCCTACAAAGCCATGGGTGTGGGGGGAAATGGGGCTCCTCGGATATTGTCTCTTTTGCATCCTCTCTCAGATGCTGGTGGTAGTTGGTTCAGTTGTTACTGCACACATGCCCACTCCAAACCCCACGTGCATTGTCCTTTGCAGATTGCATTACTGTTAGCAGGAGCAACTTCCATGAGCGTGGTGTGGGCCATGGCTGAGTGTGCAGCTAAAGGAAGCAAGAGCATGACTGCTTGTAAATGCTGTTGATTTTGGAGTAGCATACAGTGGCTTTGTGACTGCAACCAGAAATTTGCCCTGTGTTAACAAGGAAAAAGTGTAAGCAGATTGTTGGTTAAAAGGGTGATTCCTGGAAGCGTGTTCATTTGGTTACGTTACTTGTGTCCTAAAATGCTTTTTGAGTATTTGCTCATAAGTTTTTTATCTGATGTCTACAGGACCTAAAATTCAGTTCAATGATAACATGAATTCTTTCTCTTTCCCCCCTGTTAAGGACTCTGAAGGAGTGCCACCTTCTAAAAAGATGAAAGTAGAGGCTTCCCAACAAAATGTTGAAGAGATTTAGACTATAGATTTTCCTGGTCAGTTTTTATGTAAGGTACATCAGTGGGCTTAATTATAGAACAACCTTACTTAAGCATCTTCTCTTGGATGAGGACAGAACTCCTAACTTTTCAAGTTACCAAGCAAAAATCCAAGAAAACCTAACAAAGGTTTAACTTCTCAGACACTGAAAACTTTTTCCTGTGAAACAAACATTGAGAACTTTTAAGTTACTGTCTCTGAAATGGTTGGAGTAAACAACTCAGGAGGGGTCTACGCACTGTTTCTAAAGTCAGAATTACAATTATGTTGCTGCTGTATTTTTTTTTCATTTCTCTATTTAACAATGTAAGATATTTAAGGATGGTACAGGTCAGGTATTAGCTTTCATGTGAAGTTCATTGTTCTGGCGTGATGTCTGCTTTTGTTTTGTGCCTTGTGTTCTGAAAACAGTGCTAACTTTTAAAGTTGTTTTGCAACTGTCTCCTTTGCAAAGTGACCTATGTTTGTATAATGCCATGTAGTAAGTTTTGTTTGGTTTTTTTGGTTTTGTTTTGTTTCTTTCTTTCTTTCTTTCTTTTCTTTTCTTTTTTTTAATTTTCAATCCCTGGTGCTTAAAAATTAACAAAAGGAGATGAGAGAGATTAGGAAGCCATTTTCACACTTGGAGTCCAAGGAGACAAAGAAGCTTGATATTTTATTTTTCTGCAGCTACAGTGGAGACCTTTTATTGAATGCACAGCATTCACAAATTGTAAATCTGGTCTTTTAAACACTTGACTTCAGCAGAAGTTAACAATTTATTTACCATTTATAGGCCGGATCTACATAGATAACGAAACGATTCAAGTAGGTTAAATATTAGGTCCAGATCTCTGTACTGGGTACAGTGTACATTTTACAGAAGGGTTCCACTATAAATAAAGGATCAAAGGGACTGATACATAGCAAATGTATTTGAAATGGTTTATTTTGATTATCAGGTTTTCACTGAACTGGATTTCATTGTACTGTTCTTTGATAAGATGTTTACTGATATGTTCCAATCTATACTGTATTGGGGTGTGTTGTTGTTTTTTTTTTTAATTTTCACCAAATCTTTGTAAATAAGTCTTGTTTCCATGAACTACGTTGGTAGGAAAGTTCCTTCCTTTTCAATTATGTTGAAGTCTGCTCATTCTAGACTTGAATGAGAGGTGCTGAGCATGTGCAACTCCCTTCGAGTCAACAGCATTTAGAGGTGCAGAGCATCGACAAGGATCAGGTCCTGAACACCTGCTCTTGCAGTAGGCTTAGTACTTCCATAGTGGTGCCGAGTCATCTCAGCACCCAGCAACGGCAGTAGGAATTACTTGTGTGAGTAAGGAATATTCACATGAGAAATATGTGTTGCTGGATTGGGTCCTTAATCTTCTTTTGCTCAGTGCAGGAGATGGACCTGGTAATTCAAATCAAGACCCCACATATTGAAAACGGTTGCATATAGTTTGTAAGCTAAGAACTGTAGATATTTTTTAATGATAAAATTGCTTCCAGTCGATACATTTTCATACTTAGCTCTTTGTAATCTTATTTATTTCTGAATTCTCCAATGGTGAAAATGGCTTGAGCTTTGACTACTGCATTGCATTTGCAATTACCACTTCAATTATGAAACACAGCATGGGGCGGGAAAAGTGGGGAGCCAATGCTGACCTTCTATAAGATGTTTGCGGGATTCAACTCCAAATAACTTGCTACGCTAAGTTTGGGATTTTTTCCTTTATGTTGAAATAAACTTTTTGGATCTTAACTAAATAAAATTTGGTTGCAAATCATTCATGAAAGCAGTGTGCTCCCTAATAAGTTTTTGAATTCTCTGGTCAGATCATAAAGTTCATTAACATTCTGAAAATAAGGAAATAAGGAGCCAATAGTTATGTTTGCACAATATACATAATGAAATGGAAGAAATATCTCTCTTGAATTGTGTGTATGCTTAAAAATGTGGATGATAACTGGTCAACGGCTATCAGTTTGTATGTATAGTACACTCAGAATTAATTAATATTTTATGAGAAAAATTCTATTTGATATATTAAATGAGTAAATTTAAAGAAATTCAAATTTTTAAAAACACTTTGATTCACTCATTTTAATTTTTAATACTAAAACGACATGAATCTGATGCCACCTTTGACAAGTAGTCATGTTTACTAATTGCTATCTTCTGATTGTTCATGTTTTTGATTTTTGATTTTTCTATAAGTTTCCAAGGGACTAAATAGGGTGGGGGGGGGTTGTTTGTTTTGCTTTGTTTTGTTTTTTGGTTTAAAAACTGATTCCTGTACTTTAGGAAGAAAAAATATATAAATAGCACTAAAATACCTCAAATTTTTCATTAGGTAGAAACATTTATTGGCATTACTGACACCAACAGGTTAACTATAAAATTCCGTTTTTCTCCTGTGGCTTCTGCTCAGAACCGTGTCCATTGTTCTGTGGCTTGGAAAACAAAGCAGCGTAACCATTTTGCTAGTGGCTTTATTTCTAAAATAGTAACTTTTAAATTTACAGCTTATACAAAATACATTCAGAACGTTTTTTTAATCAGATTCTAGTGACAACAGACAATTGAACAAGCAGATAGATTTGGGTTCCTTAAACCTGTTAATGTCAGTCTCTTTCTTAGAGGCTTTGACATTACCTGGTGTGAAGAAATCCAAAATAGAGTATAAGACTGTTATTAGTCTTTCTTTGAAGTGCCTAATGACACATATGGGCCAATGGGTGTGAGTAAACACATTTTAATGCCAGAAAGTACAGATGGGACCAAACCAGAACATAGGATCCAAGCCCTGTTTAGGGTTGGAACCAGATCTAAATCCAGCTTATTGGCTTGGACCATCTCTACCTGAAATTTGTTTTATGAACTCACTGTAAAAGGGTGAATTGAAACCATTGCGATGTGGAGCAGAAGGGGAGTTGTAATTTACTTCAAGGTGACTGAAAGTTCTCATACAGCTCACGTTCTAGAAATAGTGCAAATATCATGAAGTGCTTCCTTGCTACAATGCTGAATGTTGGAGCTTCAGTTACAAAAACAAAAGAAACTAGAAGCAAGTAAATTAGTTGAGGTTGTGGAACACTTGGGAAGGCCTTCCGAATAAGAGATTTACTCAGCCAAACATTTTATAGCAGAACTATTCCTTGGAATTTTTATGCTTGGGAAAGTAGTTGTTAAACATTCCAAAAAGTGCTGGCACTTACAAAACAACAAAAAAATCAACAAGGCAGTATAAGAGATTGGTTTTGGGTGGCTATCTTCATACATAAACATTGTCATGTTTTGGAATGTTCTTTATATCTAAGGGCCTGTTAGAAGGTGTAAAGAATTTTTGTTTTCTTCAATACCTAATCGTTTTCCATCTTATGATTTGTGTGTGTGTGTGTTGTACAGCAGTATAATTTTTTTCACTTATTTATTCCATCAGTAGCTATGGTTTGTACAATGTACAATGGTTTCATTTCAGAAATAAATAAAAAAAAATCACAACATGAATGCTGTGTGAATAATTTTATCAAGGAATTTTAATTTTAAGCAATTCTCAGTTTGTCTGTTGTTTTAAATTTTTTAAATAAATAATTCAGTTTATGAATAGTTTTTAAAATGTTGTGCGTTCTATGGTCTCATTTGGCAATGCGTAAGACAGTATAACCTTCCTGTCTCTCAACGGACTAAAGTGTGCTGATATCCTTATAGCAGGACCTTGGCTTTCTTGCATGAGTGACTTGGAGAATGTCTGGAATGAGCAAACCAGTGAGCACACAAATCCAGTAAAATAGGAAGATTGCTACATCCCTCTGTTCCGGGCATGTGAAATGCCAAATACTACTTATACTACAGCTCATCATTTTGGTTATTTTTATTTTTTACAAAAACAAACATCATTGTAGCAGCATCTTTTTAGTGATTCTTTGCTAGGATGTAAGGAAATCATCCGTGCAGTTCATGTCGAGGGATTGTAGACCAGTGAAGTTCTGCGCGTTTCCTTGCTGCCTGTTGGTTTGCTCTGCAGTATATGCAGAGGGCATGGACCTCATCTCTCCTTTTGTGTCCATATGCCTATAAAGCATCTCAGTTCTCATTTTGTTTAATCTGGGTTTTCGCACCACTGGATATTTCTTCCAGGCACTTAGGACTCAGTAGAACTTGCTTCGAGTTTACAAGGACCCCACTCAGTTTAATGGAATCAGATGCCAAACGTGATGAACAGTGAATGGGAAAGTTGGTGGGGGTATTTATAATATCCAAATTACTCTTTTCTCAAAGAAAGTGTTAACTAATAATATTTAGCTTTTCAGGGTAAGCTCTTTTTAGATGCCATTACTAAAAGAAAACCCTTTGCTTAGAAATGTGTCTGTTGAGTCGGAAGCCAGCCGTGGTGATGTCTGCAAATACTTTTACAATGTTCTCTTAGTCATGAAATATGCAAGTCACTTAAAGGTATGTTTCTGTTGAAAATCTGGTCATATTATCCCTGTCCCAAGGGTCCTGCATTTGAGTGCATGTTACAGACTGGATGGCCTGACAAGTTGAGTCTCAAAGTCATGCTGACCAGGTTTCACGTTAGCACATTGTTCAAAGCCTTAGTGGATTGCCCCAAAAAGGAGGGTGCCAAGGAGGAGATTTTTCATAAAAAGAGGGTGCTTGCCTGCCTGTACAGAAAGGGAAGCTTTTCCAAGCATAAGGACTGGTTTGAAAGGAGACCCGAGCAGGTTCAAGTTATTCTGTCGGCTGCAGAAGCACGGTTTTGAATGAAATCCTCTAGACTTCTAATCCTGGCTGTATCCCAGAACCTGGGTAGCTGTAGGTGATCCACCTTACCTCTCTTCTTTGTAGAGTGGGGAGATTTGCTTTCCCATGGGTCAGTTTGAGCAGAAGAGTTCCTAATTTGCAGCGTACTGTGTAAATGCTTAGTAGTTGTATCAGGTGTCTGGGTTGTAGCCTAGAGACGAAAGGAATCAGAATTTGTGGTAGAGGTGATATCTTTTATTAGACCAACTAGATTTTTGCAAAAAAAAATATTTTTCTAGTTGGTCTAATAAAAGATATCACCTCTACTACAAGGTCCGATTCCTTAGTAGTTGTGTGTTAAATTCAAACGTGCTTAGTCCAAAAAAGGCAGGTGAGCAAGGGGCCTTTGGTCTTGCTTCTCTGCACATTTCAAATGTGATTGAATTAAATAAACAGCTATCTCATCTGTGATAGCAGTCCAGTCTCTGTTGGGAGGTATCAGTAGATAATGATGGGCTGAAACGTTTCATTAGCACGGCAGCTGCTAAAAGAATTAACAAAAGGCATATGCAAAAGCAAGGCCATCAATCTGTCTCTCTGCTGTGGCTTTTGCAATTACCTCAATCTCTCCTGGAATGCCCTGTTCTAGAGCACTCATCCTTGAAGTGCAGCGCTGAGGTTGGGCAGGTCCAAACAGAAGCACCACACAAAGAAAAGGAAAACGCCGCACCCGCAAAAAGTCTTTCCTCTGCATCCTTGCTTGGTTTCACCTATAACATGTTGACATAGACCAAATACAAGAGGGGAAAATGCTCTGTTCTGAAGGTGTCCTTCAAAACCTATGCGGGACAAGGATTTTTAGGGATCACTTTAATTGGACCAGCAGTATAGCTGGGAGAGCAGTTGGACAAGCTTTTGAGCATCAAGTGCCCTTCTTCGGGTTTAAGAAAGAGGCAGACGCAGGCTGAACACATATCAAAGGAAGCCCGTATGCAAATACAGACGGACTGCTTGGAGGGACAGGACACACAAAAGAAGTGCAGTGGACCAGGCAATCTGGTGAGTGGCAGAGCTAGAGCATTCAAGAGGGGAGGGGAGATATTTCCTGCAAAGTGCATGGAGATTCCTAACGGTATCTCTTAGGTTGTAATGAGCCATGCAGCCACTGTCTATCTAGTAGGGTTATTAATTTCTGTTCTTGGGCCTGTCTTCTGCCGTTGTTTTGTAAATTCCCTTTGAGCAAAAGGGGAGAGGTCAGAGAAGGAATGGTTGTTCTGTGAAAAATGTGCTCCTTCTGGTTTTCCCGTGTCGTTTTCTGTAAGGGTTCCTCGGTCATTCCTCCTTCCTGTTGGGTTTCACCACATGCTTTCCACGAGGACGGCACCTGGTATGCTGCGTGAATCCCACATTCTGGGACATATGCATGTAGGACCCATGCACTCTGTTGGGGTTTTTTTGTGGGGTGCCAATTGTCAGGGCAGTGGAGATGTATTGACAGGCTTTGCATTTACTGCTAAGGCTGGGCTGTGTCCCATTTGAACTCTGTTACAGGAGGGAGAGTTTTGCTGCTGCTGCTGAGTTGGGCCAAGTTTTGGGGTTGCTCAAAGGCCAGGAGTGTAGGCTTTGGGAGCATTTCCCTCAAGGTCTGACCTTTTTTTGATGAGAGGCTGTAATTGTTTCATAATCCTCCTTTATGAGTTCCAGCGTGTAACAGCTGGGCAGGGTTTTTTTTTTGCATTGCAATAGGTGGCGTATTTGTGTGGCTTGCTCCAAAACGCAATCTGTTTCTCTGCTGGTGCATCCTCGCCTGGGAACATCATTTTTCAGGCAGGTGAATTGCGTGTTGCAAGTTGGAGCAGAGGAGGTGGTATCCAGGGGTCTGACTATAGATGAGTTTTTTTTGGTGTGCCTGGGACTGTTGCTGTTTTTGTTGACACTGTGGTGGGCCATGAGTTTTCTGTACATAGTGGCTTGTAGGGTGCCATCCTGGATGTGGATTGTGGCGTGTAGGTGTATGCCAGAGAGAATTCAGTCAAAAGAGGGTAGTTGTTGAATATCACTTGATGAGTCCAGACATTCAGCAGAGGAAAATGTCATCTAGGTAGTGGAGGTTTGATGGCACAGTTTTATAAATAGTCTTCTCAGTGGCTCCTGAAGATGTTGGCCTAGTGACGGAGGCATCTTTGTGCTATGTGTACAGAAAACTATTAGCGCTCCATATATAGAAAAGACTACAATGTTTCAAGTAACCTGATTAAACTTGCACTAGGCAGGAAGACAACTGGGGTGAGGTGACCGGCCAGTCTCTGGTCTCCATACCTCAGACGTGAGTCCCTCACTCGGGCGCTCAGGATTGCCCTTCTAGCTTGCAGGACTCCTAGTAGAGATGATATCTTTTATTACACCAACAAGACTTTTGCCATAAAAAAAATTTTTAATTGCAAATGAAAGGAGAAAATCTTGTAGTAGAGGTGATACTGTTTATTAAACCAACAAGACTTTTGCCAGAAAAATTCTTTAATTGCAAAGTAAAGTAGTGGCAAAAATCTTGTTGACATCTTTACTACAAGATTTTTGCCAAAATAATTGCAAATTAAAGAAACTTGTTAGCAAAAATCTAGTTGGTCCAATAAAAGATCTCATCTCTCCTAAGATTTTGGCCAAAAAATGTCCTTAATTCGCAGTTATTCTGTCTAAAATCTTGTTGGTCCAATAAAAGATCTCATCTCTACTACAAGATTTTTTCTGTTAATTTGTAATGAAAGAATTTTTTTTGGCCAAAATCTTGTTTATCCAATTTAAGATGTCACCTCTACTGTAAGATTTTGGCCAAAATAATTTAAAATTTAAAGTTGGAAAAATCTGGTAGTAGAGGTGATCTCTTTTATCAAGACCAACAGGATTTTGGCCAACAAATTTCTTTCATTGCAAATTTTGGGCAAAAATCTTGCAGTAGAGATGATCTCTTTCATTAGACCCAGAAGATTTTGGCCAACCAATGCAAATTTTTGGCCCAAATCTTCTAGGTCTAATGAAAGAGATCATCTCTACTACAAGATTTGGGCCAAAAATTTGCAGTTAAAGACATTGGTTGGCAAAAATTTGGTAGTAGAGGTGTTATATTTTATTAGACCAACAAGATTTTGGCCAAAATAATTGCAAATTAAAGACATTGGTTGGCCAAAATCCTGTTGGTCTTAATGAAAGATATCTCTGCTACAAGATTTTGGCTAACCAATGTCTTTAATTTGCGAATGTTTAGCCAAAATCTCATAGTAGAGATGATCTCTTTCATTAGCCCAAGATTTTTGCTGCCAAAATTACTTAATTGCAAATTTGGGGCAAAAATCTTGTAGTAGAGATGACATCTTTCATTAGCCCAAGATTTTTGCCATAAAAAATTCTTTCATTGCAAGTTTGGCAATAATCTTGTAGCAGAGATGATATCAACACGATTTGTGCCCCCCCCCCCCAAAAAAAATTTTCCTTTACACTGAAAGAATTTTTGATGGCCCAAATCCTGTTGGTCTGATAAGAGATCACCTCTACTACCAGATTTTTCCCCCCTTTCATTTGCGATGAGAGAAGATTTTCGATGGCTAAAATCGTGCCGGTCTGGTGCAAGATGTCATCCTCCCCCTCCCTCCCTCCCTCCTTCCTTCCTGCCGGGGGTGGGGCCGGGGGCGGGCCCGCGTGAGGGGGCGGGGCGGGGCT